ACTCAAATCAGTTAATAAAGAGTGTAAAAAAGAATTAAGTATTAATGAAAGCTCTTCAGTCACTGAAAAAGTAATTCTTATTTAAAAGAATATGAAATTATGACAGAAAACAGCTCTGTTTTTTATTCTTTGTAAGAATATTATATAAAACCCAGAGAAAAACACCTTACTTTTTCAAGAGAAGTAAAAAACTATTTCTAAGATCTTTTTTTTGCATTAACTGCTGCAGAAGAATGAGATAGAAACTGCTAAGATATGCACTACTATATACTCTCTATCAAGACTTTCTCTCTTCAGAGTCTTGATATTATAGAGAATATAAGTCTGTTTCTATATGATAATATAAATACTGTCAGTGAGATGTAGAGAAACTGATTATTTATATCTCAAAATAGAAGACTTTGTCAATGATTATATCAATATAGAGTTAATTCTCAAATTCAATAGAAATCTAGTGTTGCTGTTCTCAATCCCTTGCAGAATCTATTAAATATTGAGATATTAAAACTAGATTTAATATATCTCACTGTGCAGGGATCAAAGGCTCAGTCAGACCTTGGAGTATACTGATTTTATAGTTATCATGTCTGCCAATTATGTATTAAGTACAGTTGCTGAGGTATCTTTTTGTACTTTTCTGTCGGGGATGGGCCAGATTGAGAGGGGTGGTACGAGGGTGAGACTTGGTGTTGATGTCTAGATACACTGAAGACAGACCGCGGAGGTTGCACTTCAGAAGTGGCTGTTGATTATGTGCTTGATATTATCACTGAGGTATCTTTTTGTATTTTTCTGCTGGGGATGGGCCAGATTAGGAAGGGCGGTATGAGGGTGGGACTTGGCGTTGGTGTTTCAGAACATCAAAGATGGACAGGGTTTTCGCGGAGGTCGCTCCTCAGATATCTCCACAACTACAGATCAGGGATCTTCCAAAATCGAGAAGATTGGTGCATATGGCTAGGTCTCTTCACCTTACAATTTGTATGGCAATTTGGCCCGGGGTTGTGGTGTGGTAGGGGAGAATGGGGGATAATCCCACACAGGAGTTTCGAACGACGTCTGGTTCACATTTGGCTGGATAACTCCACCACCACACGGGGTATGCGGTCGGCGATGGGGTCAAAATGCTTGTATGATCGAGGGCTTTTCAATGGATCTATCGGCGGGTTCTTATTCGAAAAATTGAGTGAGTTCGTGGTGAGAGTGATCTTTATTATGTTCACTGATACTTGAAATATATTAATATTATGAAAGAGAGTGTTATCAAATTACATTATTAAATGATATTATTAAAAATATATTAATATTGTGAATATCAATGTTGAAAAAATGTTGATACTTATACATTATAGTAATTTATGAATCATGATAGTTAAATATATATATATATATATATTATTTCTGACTTGATTACAACTTGTACAATAATTTTTGAAAACTTAAAATCAATTTTAATTATTAATAATTATGAACTTATAACTAACTAATATAAAAAGAAAAAAACTTTTTCTACTTCTTCTCTTTCTCATTCTTTTTATCATTCTTTATAATTTACTTCTTATTCTTCTTCTTCTGCTTCTTCTTCTTATCTGACATAATAATCATCTCAAAATCTCTCTCTGTTACCTTCTCAGAGAAGAGTTCTCACTGCTCTCTCTCAGCCAGGTCAATCTGTGTCTTAAAATTCCATATTTTCTGATCTGCTGTCTCTGATTCCATCTCAGTAGTAAGCAGATTAACATGCTCAGAGAGTAGAGCTGTCTTCTCAATATTCTGAATCATGAAGCACATTCAAGACCTGAATAAGGCCTTAATTTCCTTCTTCTCTATCAGCTTCTGCTAATCAATTAGAGAACAGAAGTATTATTAAAAATCATTATCTCTTAATAAATAAAAAACTTATCAGTTTTGACTTCTTTATCTCTCACTTCAATACTCTCTTAATCTTCTTCTACTATTACTTATTTATAGTAACACTCTTCTTCTCTCTCTCTCTCTTTATCTTGAAGTTAAATTATTCTCAGTACTTTCTCTGATTTCATTACTACTATATAAGACTTTTCATTTTCTTCTTCTTCAATCTCTTACAAGCAGTGTTATTCATATTATTTCTATACTTAGTTCAGTCTAAATCTATCAGAAGTGTTACTTAAAATTGTTATTATTCTACTTTCTTACACAGTCTCTTTAAGATATTATAATATGTCTTATGATCTGTTTTCTCTTACTTAAACATCTTCTTCTTCTCTTTCTTCAATCTGTGATAGTACTTATACACCTTGATGATTCACAGAACTGCAGAATATTTGAAGAGAAATGACATGATTAATTTTAATAAGTGTTGAAGAGAGAGTAAAGACAGACAATGATATAATAATAATAATAATAGTAATAATAATAATAATAGTGATAATAATAATGATAATGATGATGATGATGATGATGAAAGAGAAAGTGTATTGAAATATATTATTGACTTATCAAACATAAAGAGACAAAGAAACTATTAACAGCTTTCAGAGATGTATAGAAATGACTACAGTGTTACATATCAATATTATCTTCATTTAATACATGCACTATTGATATTCTTTGTATACATTTATCATATAATCTATATCAGAGATATATGCAGAAAACAGATCTTTATTACTAGAGAGAATGATTACAGCAATTCTCTGCTTTCATATTATAAAGATAAGTTATTCTTATTTCTTTCTTCTCTCTTTTCTCTTCTTCTTTAACTCATCACTAAGTTCAAGCTGATATGAAAACTATTAAAACACTTTTAGAAATTCTCAAATTGAAGAGTATAGACTAATTAAATTTTAAATATAGAAGAATTAAATTATATTTAATATTACTAATTATTTATTCTCTCTTAATAAAATCACAGTCATATCTTTCTTTCTCTCTCTCAAATGAAATATGATCTGTGAAAAGCAAGTATCATATTAAGTTATAATGATTAACACAGTCTCAGTATACAGAGCTGTATATATACAGCATGTGCTGAACTGAGAGACTGTGTGAATTACAAATCAGTATTAGCATCTCAGAAAGAGCTGTGCAGTGTGAGAAAGTTATAACTCTCAGTCACATATACAGAGAATGAATCATCACAGTAAGTACATGTATATTGTATAAAAGTAATACTTTTTGATAACACTCAGTCTCTGATATCATGAAAATAGAGTCTCTCTGTGAGATCTGTTTTTATCAGAAGTCAGAGAATCTTATATTTCTCAAGATTATCTTCACACATCTTATCTGTGAAATCAATGAGAAGAATCATTAATTTCAGTATTCTACTCTTAATATTATTCAAGTGACAGCAGAGTTCACCCTGATCACACTTTTTAAGTGTATATTTTCTAAATATTCACATTTATACAGATATATACTGATTATTTATTAGATAATATTAAGATAATAATTTATCACAGTCATATTATTCTCACTGTGAGAAATACACAGTTAATGATAAATATTATAAAGACTCTGAGAAGTGAGTATTTTAAGAGTGCTATAGCTCTACAATCTTGATTTTTTTTATTTTTATTCTTTATTTTTTTCTTTTTCTTTTCTTTTTTTATTTTTTTCTTTCTCTTTTTTTTTTTTTCATTCTGATTTTTTCTTGTTTTTGTTTTATTTTTTATTTTTATTTTTTTTTGTATTTTATATTTTTTTCATAATTAAAATTATATAAATTATAATCTATGTTTAGAAAAGTAATGATATTTAGTAACACTCTCTGTTGAATTTTCAATAAATGAGCACTATGTTATAATATTATATAAGTGAGAAGTAATTTCATAATCTCATTTAATGCTATTCTCAATAATGAGATCAGAATGAAAATATAACTAAGAATTTAAACATATTCTTTATTCAGAACTAGATTTTTATTTGAAAAGTGAATCTGAGATCTTTAATATTTGAAATAATGTGATTTGAAATCAATGTAATGAACATAAATTATGATCAGAAGTAATGCTTTTAGACAACATGACAACTGTAAAGTTTGATCCTGGTCTCAGACACGGTCACACGTAGACTGGCCGTCAGAATCATGAATTTCACATTTAATCTCATTTAATCTGATCTCATACATTTCTTGATGTGAATCCCACTGGGACTGGCTATTAAAAAACATGTAAAGTGACTATATATCAGATCTTAAAATGAAATCATGACTTGAAAAAAATGAGAAAGTGGTCTCATTTGGTCTCATTTAGTCTCATTCTTAGCATAAAGTTACTATTTTTAGATATTTTAAGGTTTTTTTTAGACTATTTTTAATTTTTTAAAAGGTAACACTTTTTGATAACACTCAAATGAGATTTAAAGTCATTTAAAGCAATAAAAATAATTTAAATTGAGAAGTGAAAATCATGATCTTATTTGAAAAATGTGATAAGAGTAGAAAGTAAGTCTCACTGAGACAGTATGAAACTACTATTTAATGTTAAAACCGTGTAATGAGATCAGTTGAATTGATAATGGAACTATCAAAAAATCTGATCCTGGTCTCAGACACGGTCACACGGTCAGTCTAGTCACACGGTCAGTCTAGTCACACGGTCAGTCTAGTCACACGGTCAGTCTAGTCACACGGTCAGTCTAGTCACACGGTCAGTCTAGTCACACGGTCAGTCTAGCTGTATCACTGAGTATCTTAAGTATTAAATTGTAAGAATAAGTGCTCGCAGGCAATTATTCGGGTGTTTGCAGCTTGATGTGATATGTACTGTTAACTACTAGAAGTATTTATAATAGAAAGATAAAAATGTAGAAGTCAAATGTATAATAGCATTCAAGCTAAGTTATGAATAATATTTGTAAACTTCAGTCTATATAGTTATGTGTAGTCAAGAGCTGCTAACTCTATTAATTACATAAGAGATAGAAACAGAGATAAAGAATCTGTGAGAAGTGAGATTTTTTATATATTCTTCTCTCTCTAAGACTTTGTTCACAAAGTCTTTCACTGAGTGACTTCATAGAATCAGCTCAGCACTGCAGTGATACTCACTAAAAACTCTTTATATCTATAAAAAAAACCTCAGTGAGAAAAAATCTCTTATTACTATGAAGAGAAAAGAGTCTGTTACTCAGTTTCTTATTTCATAAGATTCTTTATAATCTACAGATTCTTCTCTAACTATCATACAGATTCATCTTGCATCTTATATACAGAAGAGTTCTGATTTACTCTCAATCATTTTTATAAAATTCTTATATAATCATTATATAGATTTATCTCACAGGTGAATCACTCTCTGTGAGATTATTCTTATTAAAGAGAAGTATTTATGAGTTGATCTTTCACTTATTCTTATGAATCATTATTCTTTGACACTGTAGAATTGTGAGGAATTTTTCATTCTTTCATTAACTCTGTAGAATTATAGAATCAAGATATTTACAGTCTGTAATCACTCTTTATAGTTATATAGAAAGATTCAGATCTGTAATTCATAATTACTCTTTATTTATTAGAGTGATCTGACTGTTCTGCAGAATCATTCACAGTGTAAACAAATCTCTCTAGAGTAGTATAAATATTTCAGATTTATCTATGAAATCTCATCTTCTTTTCTCTTTTTCTGTAACAGCTCTCATTCTTATAAACTGTAAGTATCTTCATTCATCTGTGAAGTGTTTTCACTCAGATAATAAAGAGAGAGTGTTTCTAATAATATCTGTATATTGATTCAAGAACTTCTCAAGAATAAAATTTTTTTCAATTTTAATACTCTTATAAATAATATCTGACTGCTACTGAGCTTCTTATAAGTGTCTCTGTGACTCTTCTGATTGCTTTTTACTGACTGATAAAGCAGAGATATCATCACTTATAATAGTATCTTTATTTCTTTCAGCTCTGTCACTGCATCTGATCTTCAGATCAGTAGTTAACTCTGTACCTCTCTCAGATCAGTCTCTGACTTCAAGTAGCACAGTTCTGCTCTTTACTGTAAGTCTTCTCATAAGTAATTTCTTACAGATTCTAACTGACAGTTCTTATAAAGATCTCAGTGTTATCAGTGTCTTCTACAGCTCTGTAAATCTACAATCATCTTTCTTCTATCTGTATAATCTTTGATTAGATATATACAAATATGTCTAGATTCTCTATTAACAGTTCTCACACTGCAGCACATTTTCACAATTCTATTATCAATGAGAGATAAGTTCTCAGATACTCATAAAATCCAGATAATTAAGAC